TCCTACGAGACCTCAACGTGACTTGCATAGTTATTTGGTCGAACATAGTTTCAGGTGATGTACAATCGTGTATTCAAAGTAACCTTCATTTGAATGTAATCAGATTGAGACATGCCTACAGTAAATAAGATGTTAAATTATTATCCGTATTGATTCTATTGAACATATACATGTATACAGTGTGAATCACTCACACTACCTTACCTGCAGTGTGCCCTCTAAGCTGATATGATCCAAAAGGTTTTGCTGTGACATAACCAGTTTGTACTAATTTACTGGCACATCATTGACGCAACTGAAAATTATGGATTATAATCTTTAAAAAAAAATCTTACTATAGTTATAGAATTTGTAATTTGGTGAAACTAAAATCACATTTTATTAACAAAGTAAGTTTAAAATCAAAGAGAAACAAGAACCACAACATTTTTGTTTGTGTATCAAGTCACTTATATACTGTCACATACAATTTTTTGTTCTCTTGTTTTTTTAGCTCCGCTGTCGACTTTGTCAAGCAGAGCTTATCATATGAGTGATTGTTCGTCGTCGTCCATGTCAATGTTTTACTTTTTCGACTTCTTCTTGAAAACTACAAGCCTGAATGCTTTGATAGTTGGTGTATATGTACCTTGGGTAGACCTCTCTCAGATTTGTTCATTTCATGATGATGTCTTCAATTCTCTAATTTTGGTGAATATTTTTGTCATTTTTTGGTAAAAAGTGATATTTTCGACTTCTTGTTGAAAACCGCAAGTCCAATTACTTTGATATTACATATATAGGTACTACATATGGACCTCTCTCAGATTTGTTCATTTCATGATGATATCTTCAATTCTCTAATTTTGGTGAATATTTTTGTCATTTTTTGGTAAAAAGTGATATTTTCGACTTCTTCAAGTTCTTGTTAAAAACCAAAAGTCCAATTGCTTTGATATTACATATATGGGTACTACATGTGGACCTCTCTCAGATTTGTTCATTTTGTAATGATATCTTTAACTCCCTAATTTTGGTGAATATTTTTGTCATTTTTGGTAAAAAGTGATATTTTCGACTTCTTGTTAAAAACCGCAAGTCCAATTGCTTTGATATTACATAAATAAGTACTACATGTGGACCTCTCTCAGATTTGTTTATTTTGTAATGATATCTTCAATTCTCTAATTTTTGTCATTTTTGGTAAAAAGTGATATTTTCGACTTCTTGTTAAAAAACGCAAGTCCAATCGCTTTGATATTACATATATAGGTACTACATGTGGTCCTCATTCAGACTTGTTCATTTCATGTTGATATCTTCAATTCTCTAATTTTGAAGAATATTTTTGTAATTTTGGGTAAAAAGTGATATTTTCGACTTCTTGTTGAAAACCGCAAGTCCAATTACTTTGATATTACATATATAGGTACTACATATGGACGTCTCTCAGATTTGTTCATTTCATGATGATATCTTCAATTCTCTAATTTTAGTGAATATTTTTGTAATTTTTGATAAAAAGTGATATTTTCCCATTGCTTTTATATTACATATATAGGTACTACGTGTGGACTTCTTTCAGATTTGTTCATTTCATGATGATATCTTCAATTCTCTAATTTTAGTGAATATTTTTGTAATTTTTGATAAAAAGTGATATTTTCCCATTGCTTTTATATTACATACACAGTGCCCATGCTTCAGTCCCCTTTTTTCGTATTCCACAACCAATGCGTTATCACAGTGAGGTGCTACGTGTGGACTTCTTTCAGATTTGTCCTGTTGCTTTTTATATATATATTGTTCATTTTCTAATGATGTCTTCAGTTCTTTTATTGTAATGTGCATTGCTAACAGCGGAGCTATTTCAGTCGACAGGCTGCTTGTTTTTTTTATGCGAGGGGTTCAATTTTCACTTAGAATTCCTATAAAATCTGTTCTAATAGAGGGCACACTTTTTACCTGTGTGCTTCTAATAGTAATTAAATTGAGGGTTGTTACTTGGACTAAAAATATTGTTTGTGACTTGATGGGATTTGCCCATTCACAAAGTTTATTATAAAATAAAAAAATAAACATCGTAAAAGTATTGAAAACCTACAGTGTATAAAAATAAGTTCTCAAACCATTATATTGCTACTTTGCGAACAAATTCTGTAATACTATTATTTATTTATTTGTTTGTCAGTTATCTGTGTTTTTCTGTTCATTTGTTTTTTGTTTATTTAATTATTTGGATGTATTCGTTTCCTGCAACTTTATTGTCGGCCTCAGTGCATCTGAGCTGCGCATTGTTTAGTGGTATCATCGCCCTCTTTGTAGAATAGTAATGACATATTTACAGTTACCATTAATCTGAAAGCCAACCAACATGCTATTCTTTGTGGCCAGCCACTTCTTTTTATGGCTCTTGTGCATAATTAGGGAACAACCATTCAAGTGTGTAGGGGTGTCAGGTATCAAAATGGAGGGGATTTAAACATTATTCTAAGCATGCTCCAGTCTGATGTATGACATTATAATGCATCATGTCACATGTTCATACTAATAATTATTATTCGTAAAGATGTTTTAACAGAGACAATAAATTATTTTATTTGACTGTTATGTTGAAATATTTTCCCCTGGGTTCAGTGAATATAGTTTTGGTATCCCAGGGCTGCTATGAAAAACACAAGATAATACACACTGTCTAGTTGTAACCTGTTGCATTCATCATTCGTAGTGTTGTCTCTTCTCCTTAGTTATTCAATGCAACAATTTCCTCAAACAAATACATGTAGCCAAACCACTGCAATTCTCGCAGCAAAATTCTGTCTATTCTGTTGTTTATCCTTTTCACCACCAAACTTTCTCCCCTATATTTTTCTGCACTTTCTCTTATATTCTTCAATGTTTTTGGAAATGAACCCGAATTTTTGAGCAAACGAACAAAATTTGAGTCAATATCAAGTTTTTTTTTAAAAATGGCTATTTTTGTACTAATCTTCTGAAAGAAATAAACAGAACTATTTTGTGAATTTGTGATGAAAAGAGGGAACTGGTGGTGCAAAGGTTAGATCAGCCTTGTTCAATATTTCTTACACGTTTGTGTTTGTGAGAAGAAATTAAGTATTTTACAGAGGCTTGAAAAATTAAAAGATCATGAACAGATTTTCAACATTGGATATTTAAAAAAATTATCTAGAATTTTGTTAATATCAATTTTGGATCAAAAAAACTGAAATAAACATCACCAAGCAGGTTTGATCAAAAGTTTTCAAAATTTCATTATCGTTTTGGATGGGGAAAAAAATATTTTGGGAAAGATGACAAATGTTTGGCTATGGTATTAAAAGAGTATAATGAGTTTATTTCTCTGATATGAAAACAGCTGAACTAACACAGAACTACATACAAATATAGTACAATGTATATACATTTGTAAAACACATGGGAAAATATTTTTAATCATGCTGATTTGTTTATGGCCAGCATTTGTGTCAATTCAAAAGTTTTTTTTTTGTTTCTGCCAATATATAGTAAAAATACGTTTAAAAAATACAAGGAAAATATGCTTCACTGCATTTCATTCAAAAATAACAAAAATGAGGACTTACAATTTCATTGATGTGCATGCATCTTAGGTTGCATTTGCAATCACTATCTGATTCAAGATGGCCGAGTGGTGGCCAGCTGGTAACAGTTGAACAAAATAAATTATTTGTAATTGAAACCAGACCTCAGTTGTGTATGGACAGATTTTATTCAAACTTGTTCAAACATAGAACATTATGGGACCTTGAGGCATGTCACTTGTTTTTACACATGTAGGTCAAATGCCCGACTAGTGGCCATTTTGTTTTATTGAATGCTTTTTCATAGATCAATATCTTTGATGTGACCAATCATGTACAAAAATCCACACAAGCGTCGTACATGTTAACACTTACTGCATGTCATTTTGTAGTAGCCAACTGGCAGCAATTTTGTTTTAACAAATAATTTTCCAGTGAAATGTCTTGACATACCACACATGAATGCATTTGTTTGTGGCTTAATTCTAGACGCATGGAGCTGGGAATAGCCACTGGTGGCGCTGTATACAATCAAAACCTATTGAGGCCTGCCTACACTCATTCAGACTTTAGCGTAAAGGCCAAAAACAGTTGTTAAATTTGGTAACCAGTTTAGATTGATAGAAAGCGTGTACAATCTTCAAATTACCACAATAGACAGAGTGGGGGTCAAGACCAAATATACGTGATTCCTGCATTTCATAATAAATGCTTTCTGTTAATAATTGCACTTTCAAATAATACTCATAAGTTATGTCTACTTCATAACCTCGTTAAAAGTCATTAGCATATTGTGTACTCAGTGCCCATGCTTCAGTCCCCTTTTTTCATATTCCACAACCAATGCGTTATCACAGTGAGGTCAATTGCAATATACATTTTATGCAAGTGATGTTCAGCACCGTCAATGAGGTTTGTGAATCAAACCTCATTGATAATGCTGAATGTAGTGTTTGTATTCAAAGCCCACACATAAGCGACGCTACCAGATCTACCAGTATACAAAAGTATACAATTACAATTCTGGTTCCCCACTAACTCTGGATTGCTGAATGTTGTACATTTCAGCTATTCCAGAACTGGATCAAATAAATATGTGCACATCATGTAAAACTGATTTTAAAAAAACTGAGTGGCTTATCATGGGACATATGTATTCATGCTCTTAAATTTAATCTAATTACCAGTAAAGTTACAGTGAAAATAAACTGGAATTAATTTTCGCTGAAAAGACTTTTTGGGCGTTTTGTATGGAATTTATTTTCACTGATTTTTGATGAGTTAGTGTGAAATATAGGAAAAAAAGTATATTCGGATTTTATTTTCACGAAAACATCCCTTCAGTGAAAATAGCGAAAATAAATTCCAAGCGAAAATAAAGTATTCTACAGTAGCACATCTAATGAATTCTATATAATTTAATTTTTCTAATATAATAATACTTTTTTGTTTGGTTTTTAGTTACATAAAGACTGGGGCCATAATGTCTCAAAGATTCTTGAAGGACCAGGGGTGTTAGCACTAGTGGCATTGGAAAAGCTCCCTCTAGACGAACATCACGCGATGCGAGTCTACCAATATATCACAGATCGTTTAAAACATAGGAAATGTGAAATCCTTAGGTAAGTACATGTACATAATACAGGGTTCTCTTAATAACAAGGTATGAATGCCCCTCCCCCTCAATGGGGTGCACATAATGTAATCATATACTGCTGCAGCTTCAGGAGGCTTTGTAGTCATCGTATTATTCATATAAATTGCTGCTATATTTCACAATTCCAAAGTTTTAAATATCTTGTTGTTTAGAATTTAAATCATCTATAGCCTGTCTATTCAATTGTTAGCTTCCTTGTCAACAAAGCGAGTAGAGCTTATCATATTGCTGATTGTCTGTCGTCGGCATCAACTTTACATTTTCGACTTCTTCTTTGGTATCTAATATGTATGTACCTTAAGTAAACCTGTATCTGATTTGTTCCTTTTGTGACGGCATCTTCAATTCTTTAATTGCGATGAATATTTTCATCATTTTTGGTAAAAAATTATATTTCTGTCTTCTTGAACTCAATCGCTTTGCAATTTTTGACAACTTTGTGATTTTTGACTCGCCCTATTGCCTCAGAATCTTACATGTTTATTTCATAGGAAAACCATTTATTCTCTATTTTGAGCGATTATTTTTGTCATTTTATGTAAAAAAATTTTATTTTCAACTTCTTCTTGAAAACTACAAGCCAGATTGCCTTTATAATTGACCTGATAACTTGGATGGACCTCTGTGAGATTTGTTCATTTCATGCTGATATCATTAATTCTCTATTTTTAGCATTTTTGGTAAAAATAAAATTATATTTTGAACAATTTAAACTGTTTACCGTAAAATGACTAATTTTCACTGGGTTTAAATTTCGCTGATTTAACATTTCAGGCATATTCAGTGGGTTTTAAATTCACAGTTCTATCATTTAGATAACGTGTTCGATGCTAAATTTGACATATTCACTGGGTTTTAATTTAGCGTATTCTCCAGTCAGCGAAATAAGCAAAATTAAAACCCAGTGAATAATTAATCCTTTTACAGTATCTGATTGAGTTTCTTGGGTTGACCTCCATCAGATGTATTCAGTTTGTGACAATATCTCCAATCTGTTACTCAGTATGGATCAGATTACTTACATCACATAAAACATAGATATATCAAAATGATTGTTATTATATTAAACAAAAAAGTTTGAGTTAAGGATATCACCGTACATGAATATCTAAGTTACCGTATTTGTCTTCAGTTAAGCGCCACCTTCAATTAGGCGCCAGTGCCACAAAAACTTTGTATTTTACACCTCAATTAAGCGCCAGACAAAGTTGAAATTTTGGCACGTAATGATCGTGAATTGAGCGCCGGCGGATCGACTACCGGTTACCCGTTCGTAGCGATGGACGCGATCGCGGAAGTCCCTCGCTGTTACTGTTCGAATGGCTTTTATATAAAAAAAAATTGGTTTTGTTTCTAACAATTTTTAAGAAATCGGTCTATAATCTCTTGAAACATGTCTTTTTAGTCTACTGTAGAAAATATCAGCGTGGTTTTTAATTTCGCAGTGAGTCCATAAAAACGAAATTAAAACAACGCGAAAATGTTCTGTTCAAATGCGCTGTTGTCA